GGCGAATCTTATTACAAAGTAAATTAAGAAACATCTATCGATATTGATGCATACTTCAATGAAACGCTTGAATTGAGCACCGTCCATTTTTAAACATTCCCTTGTTAGGTAATTTAGCACTGCGTCAAACCTGAAATCTTGTTTTCGACATGTTAATACCCGATTTGCCATCAATATTGCTAATTGTGTTGGACATATCGTATGCGAAATAAATACTCCCACACATACGTCAAGAGTCATTACGCCTCACGGAACACAACGATCAATAGAATTTTCCATTATAAACACGTTAACACCAGATTTCGTCAAACCCTCTTCATATCATAATTTTTCGAATTGAATTTGTTTCAAAATGTAAGCGGCGACAGCGACGTACTACAAAAATCGAACGCTGGTATTCCCAATAGGAAATCTGGAGTCAAATGAAGTTTACCGAATTTAATAGAAGCGGGATGCCCTGGAGTGCAGCGCGTTTTGTTTATCTGTTCTTTGTTATACTTGTTTTTTCCTCGATGCGGAAACCGAAAAGGATTACGATTTCAATGTATGAAAAATTTTATTTGGTAAAACGGCAAACTTCAGAGTCGGGTGTTTATTACCGTAAAAAGCTCTGGGAAATATTTAATATTCATATTTAAATACCAACTGGATGCTACAATACGGAAAATACGGCACGGTATAAACCCCCCACATATTTTACCGTGGTGAATTGTAAGGGTTGGAGCTTTTTAGCGAGAATATATTTTATTGCGTTAAAGGAGAAAGTCCCGCCAGATGTTATGCTAAGCCCTCACTCTGACCTAAAAGGGATCTTGGAACCGCTTGGGACTAGCGGCCGACTTCATGTACAGGAATAAAGTTCGAACCGCTAGCGATTTAAGTTTTTATTTTGAATTCGGGGTTCGCATTTACATATCTTGTGCCCGCAAGTCTACAAATTTATACTGGAATCGATATGCTCAGTCGTCGTATACGTAATTGTTCTGTAATTGTATACAGTTCATACGACTGTGGAATATGAAGCATTCTGAAAGCCGGAAAGCGTATCAGCGAACATCGAACTTCCACCCTATCTATGAGTTTCCTTGAATGAGTTTAGAGCGCCTCGGCGAAGTGATCCGATTTAGGTACGTGTTTGTTTTCACATTTAAATTGTTCAAATAACCGTTTTTCTCACGTCTTTCGTCACATATTGCAGCTGAAAATACGCAATCTGCTGCCAAACTCAGAAACGCGAGCGAGCTAATATAGCAAAAAGTGATCAAAGGCTTAGATTCGCACACGGGACGATATTGGCGCCAGCGGAGATAGTAGAGGGAGTTTGGCATCCCCATGAGTGTCGTTTGATAGCGTAGTCTTACTAGTACGATATAATTCAGCGAGTCGAGAGGTTTTCCTGCGGCGGCGTTATAAGTTACGATAGCGTCGCGACGACCTTACATTGAGATGTTCGAAAAGTGGTAAAATAGAGGTTTTTAGTTGATCCGGTAGAATTTATTATGTAATCCTTGCTTTTCAAATAATTCACTTTAGCTTGCAAGCCAAAACACAAAAAATAACTAGGCTTCGGAAACTTATTTTTTAAAGCAAATCATAATCCGCATTGGCTTGACCTACTAAAAGAAATCTTGAAATTCAATTGAGATTTATATTCGCTTATCTCTTAAATAAAAAGCCGTTTCAATAACCCTAGGGAACAAGGATAGAGGAGGTCAGAATTTTGAATTTATTATATCTTTTATTATATTTCAGCAACAAAGAAAGAATTAAGATGGAAATGTCAGATTATTATGTTTCGACACCTACAGTATATATCTCTGTTCTCTTTCCTCCTCTCCTTACCAGGACTTCAATAATGCCAAAGGCCAAGGCCGGTTACAAATAAATTACAAATGTTAAGCCTCCATTTTCCAAAGCAAGTCAGCTTATCCCAACCGCGCGTGTTTTGGATAATAGTGAACCATATTCCACAAAGCATGTGCTTTTGGAAAAGTGGAACACTCGGTGCCAATTTTAGAACCACTAATTTTTTAATAATACCATGTACTGCACTCTCTCTCTCTCTCTCTCTCTCTCTAACTTTCTTTCTATTGGGCTACGAAGTCTGTTAATTAAGCAAATATCAAGCAGTTTTTTTTCGGAAAAAAATGACAGAAGTGTTGTTGCTCTCAATCAGTAAAAATCTGCAATCCCTGAGCGTTATGAATTTTAATAAATATCGCGTTGAGAGCCGAAAGGATTTTTGTAATTGCTCGATGGGTGTAGGTCCTAGAGAACACTTCGCCGAATGTCCACAACGCCGACATGATATTTTAATGGTCCATATCGCCGACTAGGGACACTGCACCGACAGTGCCCACATGGTCGACAAGTGTGCAACAGAACGCCGACAATACCCACTTCACCGATGGACACCACGCCGACGGTGTGCAAGGGACACTAAGCCGAACGTGACCACAACGCCGACTATTCGAAAAGCCAGGCCCCTCACAGTCTGTCCAGGTTTATTATGAATTTTTGTATGAGTTTGCATTTTAAAAAGTTGTAATGTTCCTAGGGGGGTATATCAAGCCGACACGGAAAACGTTGACTTACCCTATACTTACGGTTGGCAACTCTGGCAAAAACTACAAGCAGAGCCACCTACCTTTCAAATCGAAACGATGGTAGTCTCGCGGCACTTTTGAATTTGGATGACAGTCGGCTCGATATGGGTGGCACGAATGGACTCCTACGTTGTGTAATCGGTTCTTTTATGTGTTGGGCCGTGAGACATAATCGGGAAGGGAATTAAATAAAAGACAGAACTTTTGTGCGTAAGAAATGACAAGATCAAATAAATATATTAACGCACACACAAGACCATGCCAGGGAAACCTTCTACGGGACTAAAACCCTGGCATAGGCCACACAAATACATGAAATAAATCACCTACAGCAATAAAATGCAAGAGAAAATACACATAAATAAATCATCTCAAATTGTATGATAAAAATCAGATAATCAAATCAAATGCAATTAAACAAGTTCATAAAAACAAAATACACAAGACATCATAAATGCAGTGGAAAACATGATAAATCAATTCAGTATAAAAACACATCAAAATACCTGTACGATCAATAGAGATAACACAACTCGTCAAATAAACAAATTGCATGTACATAGGAAACATGTAAATGGTGTGGCTCTACTCCATCCTTCAGTTAACATATTTTAATTTAACACGAAAATACATGTGAGAATGCCATTGGCCAAATAGCAAGTATTCATGTGAAAATCGATTATCGCTCAAGCAGAACATATTTTAAATAGAGGAAATGTAAATGAGAGGGCCCCCACTCGTATTGCTAAGATGTTAAGAACTACAATCCGCACGAGACGAGTAAGCAACAGATACAGCGAAAGATCCAACTGCATTAGGTACCTACTCCACGGAGACAGAATTACCCACTCGCACACACAAACATCGAAACATCAAATAAAAGAGCCCCCCGTCGTATAGCTAATG